CACATGCGACGGGGGGGGGGGGGCGGGGGCGATTCGGGGCAATTCGAGAAAAATTTGCCCGGATCGAGTCATTTGCCAACATTCTCAGTACCTTGGGCGGTACTTGCACATGTACTGTCGGCCATACTGGCAACATTATTATAATTTGCTTCCCGAACCCTAATGATAATTAGTTCTAGATCCCACATTCGGCGTTTAATTATGCATGCGCGATCGACCTCGCTCAGAATAGTCTCAGAAAAAGCATTTGACAAGGATCGATACAAGTACCGGAAAATTTTGTCATGACCAAATACCGGAAAAATTTGTCATGACCAAATACCGGTATCGGGACCTCTCTCCACTGCGACGCTCTGCGACAGGAAATGAAGACGAATCGAATTTTTCCTGCTCTCATTTCCTCTGGGTCATGAGACTCAAAGGTACGTGCGGTATGATGAAACATAATATAATGAAATATAATAATTATATGATATTAGACTGAAAGGTACATGCAGCATGATGAAATATAATATGATATTAGCGTTTTCCTCCTTCATTCCATCCGATCGCTCGCCCCTCGATCTCACGGAAGCCCTGCCGACAAACTGACCGAAACCATGTTGAAAGGGGCCTCACCGTGCAGAGGTAGGAGTTGATCCACTTGGTGAAGGTCTTCTTCTGCACTTGGGCGCGTTCCTCTTGCAGGGCCTTGATCCGGACGGTCTCGAACCGGATCAGGTCCCTTTTCGACGCTTCCTGTTTCAGCAAGTCTTCCTGCATGGTTACACTCTGCCGATCTTGCTCTTGCAGATCTTCCTCCTGCTGTTTCTTTCTTTGGGCTTCGTGCAGGTCTTCTTTCTGCAAGTCCTCCTTCTTCAGGTCTTCTTCCCGCAGGTCCTCCTTCTGCGTGTCTTCCTTCCGCAGGTCTTTCTGCGTTACGTTCCCTCGTAAATGTACGCTCCCCTTCCGAATCGTTCAAAGCTTTGATGACTTCGTGGTCGGCTGGAGCATGAGGGTGACGTCTTTCTGTCGCGGAACTCACTCGCGATAGGTGTTAGGGATCGTCGCTGTCGCCGCGACTCAATCACATGGCGAAACTTGAAGCACGCGATAGAAGGTGAGAAAGGCAGACGGAAAATGCAGACAGGAGTGGTTGCACGGACGGTATCGCGGCTGGGAGAGATTATCTCTCTCGTGTCGTTGAGATATGGACGGGGATTCTCTTGTTCCTGGACCTGATTGGATGAGTTTAGCTCTGGCTCAGTTGCGATGTGCTCCTGTTACGGAAGCGACGATTTTTTTTTTTGACAGGTTGCAAATCATCGTAGAGACCTGTGAATATTATATTCCTCAAGAATACTCATCATTTATGGGGGGGTTTCCAGGCGGGAAGCATCAATATAGTTTCATAAATTCCACATTTCGTTGTGCGAATTCCTCACAATTCCACATTTCTTCTCGTCGTCAGTCGTGGAGGAAAAGATCATTTTGTGCCATGGCACGAGGTCATCTCTAACATTGTGAAATTCTGGGAAAGTCGAAAATTCCACATGCGAATCAAACTCTGCCAACAAGAAAAAAAAAAGATGTTTATCATCGCAAGAATGATACTTTTCGCTGGAACAGCAAGTCCGATTAGATTCGAGGGATAATCTATTGCAATGGATAATCCCGCGTCTTCGTCGTCAGGACGAAAAGCGACAGTCATTCGCCGTCCGAGAATTAAATTGTCTCCACTCATCTCATATAGCTGTGCAGTGAACCAAAGGGGAGAGGGAAAATTTAAGAAACGAAAAAGTTAAATCACGAGTGTTGAATAAATATTTTTTCTTTAATTAATTTTGAGTTTGTTACTCAAATAGAAAATCAATCAATTCGGTGCTCCCAACTGGTTTACGGTAATGTGCATCTCAAGATTGCGTTGGCGCAGACTGGTAGCAGCTGTAGTGTCGTGATCATATACCATGGATGCACAACCTCCGGTCCGCGGCCGGATGAAATCCTTCCGCTGGCACTACTATCCCAGTGGATGGACCATCGGATTGAAGATTGACTTGCGTCCCTGATGTTCGGCCCGCGGTGAGTGCACAGTAGTCACCATCTGATCCTTGGACGGGAAAGGTTGTGCATCCCTGTCCTATAAGATACCTTCGGACGAGCAGAAGGCATAGCTCTGGTCAGGGTCGTTCGGTATGAGTAGTTTGGTCGGACAGGGAAATCATTAATATTCAAAGTTGTTGCAAGGCTTCCCATAAGAAAGGAATTGGCTGTCTGGGCAGTAGTGGAAATCCTAAGTAGATCCACAATAGGTGCTTTCACCTTGTCTCATATGACGTCTGGGTAAGTTGGTGACGTCAGGCGAGCAACCAGGGAGTAGAGTGAGCTGTATGCATACATGAGCATAGCTTTCAAATTGAGGAACCGTCAAAATATTCATGTATTATCCTCTACTTTGGCTTCTGTGTTAACTACGCGCGTTGAAAGCATTTATGATGAACTTCATCTTTTTTCACATTTTTTAAACAAGAATATGCTTCCTTCTATCCCTTCACATCACGTATTTGATTCGCATGCTGACACATGATTGTACCGGAAATCGATGGTATGGAATAAATATATATTCATGATAGATACATAAACTTCCCATCCCCTCGCCTCTCGGATATCACATTACCCAGAGATTTTGAGTTCCAAACTTTGAATGATGGTGCTTGATTTTTCCGTACCTACATGGACCGGTTTACATTTCTCCATTGCGGAGGAAAGGTTAGATATCGGCGACATCACCTCTCTAGCATCCAGCAACTCCAGCATTTACACACTGCCGCGTCTCGAAGATCAAAACCGAGCGAAGGCGCCTTAGCCCCTTGCACGACAACATCGGCACCTAAACAGTAGCCCTATTGGGAATAAGCACAAGACGATTTCCTAGTTTATTTTTCGCATAGCGATTGCACGAGAGGTTTATCCTTATTGTAGAACATTACAGTCACTTAAATGCAGCTACGCTTTTTCTGTGGTTATTTAAATTGAACAATCTTTTTCGTTTTTAGCCTGAACATTGCAGTCATCGTGTCAAAATCCAATGGGGAAATGTAAAAGAAAGTATTCTTCATACCGTACATGTGCGTTTTTTCTATTACGGTGCCTTTTCTCTACTGTCGTCGGGATCTTCCATGCAAGGATTTTGTAGTGTGTCGAGATTATTAATAATCTTGGCAGTCGGTTGAATATCCTGTCTCGTTCGGGGCTTCACCGGGATCGTCGTGGAGAATCCATCCAAGAACGAGGGATGATCGAAGTCCTCGTGGATGATGACGTCCCAGCCGACGTCCCCCCCAGCTGCTGCCTCCATCTCGAGACTGAGGAAGAGGCCCGACAGGTGCTGCATCACGCCGAAAGGAACGCTGGGATGGAAGGTGAAGCACTTCCGGAACAGCAACGCTTCTCGAACGTCTCTGGGCAATGTGTTGATCCAACTTCCTCCTGTCGAAATTATGGCTTCTTGGTAACAACTTCAGAATTGGAGATGGACTCGAATGACCTATTCGAATATTTGTTTAATGGGCAATAGATTTGTGGGTTTCTATCAGGACAGAGTCCACATAAGCTTCATCTATCTCTTAGCCCATATAAACCCAGAACAGAAAAGCAGGAACACCCCTTTAATTAGGCAAAGAGTCTGCAGCGAATGTATGTTAAAGCGCAGGAGATTTTCTGCTATAGAGCTGATTTTCCCCTGAATTTTGGGGTTTTCCCGCAGTCTACTTGAGAATCCTGAGGAGAATGGCAGCGGATATTCATAATACGTCAGGCAATATAAACTCAATACAGCTGCGGAAGCTAACATCGAAATAATACAGCTGTACAGCGCCGCACAGTCTGATTGGTCAGGCATGGATGACGTCACATTCGAGAGGAGCTAAGAAAAAGAACTGCAGATGGCGCACCCATAGGAACTTGCGTGCTGCAATTAGAAGACTTAGGCTCGAATGCTGAAACCTCCTTTGGTTAACGGTCCTTTAAGCATACGTGGGATCCTATGGGAATCCTTGTACTCTTGCAAGGGCGGTTAGATAAAGGAGGTTTCAATATTCGGGCCATACTTGTTGGTATCATGGCGGGTCGTCATTCACTTCCATGGGATTTTCCCGATTTTTCTATCCGACTTTCCTCCAAATACTTACACGCAGCCAACAGCCCCGACACAGCAGGCGCAATAGGTCCTCAGGGGAACCTATAGGCCCTATTGGGTCGTTCCAAGACTTCCTTCTATCATGGATATGGATCCAATACTTCAATTTAGGCTAATGACAGTAAAGGGCGATTGGGAATAGGTCTTAGCAGAAAGCCGGCGATTCATGTGCAAAGTGATTCATAGAGTTGAGAGCGGGCCTGTGGTCCGCATCGGCAGAATAACGGAGCAGGTACCGCGGGTCATTGGAGCAGGCATTCTGAATACGGAAGCATGCCCTACCATGACCCACCAACACCTCTACCATGCACCTCGTAGTCGCCCTTCATCTCAGTTAGCCTATATTTGCCTGTGAACGTTCACTCGAAGTTTGTTTGACTTTATGCCTGAGATCTGCTGTAAAATAGGTCGAATGTGATGATGCAGGGGCGGCGTAGCGTTATCGTCTACGTAGGCCCAGCAATCTCAGCATAGGCAGGCCTGGAACTTGAGGCCCGCTCAAAAAATTAGGGACTCCAACCCCCCAACAAGAAAGAGTTCCGACCTAACGCCATCACACCTATGAAACTCCCCCCTGAATTATTAGGCCTCCAGAACCATGACTGCCTTCCATCTTGCTCACGACAGCATGAAAACTGGGAAAGGAAATCATGAAAATCCCATTGTAGCGAACGGTGAAGAGCCGCCATGATACCAACCACACTCTATTGCGCGCTACCTCCAGTTCTCTTGACATCCCCACGCCGTGCTTGCTTCCTTCAAGTCACACGAGTGCTGCCGAGGGGCGTGTCTTTTTCTCCAGCCGCTAGCAGCTGCTAGCAGCTGCTAGCGAAAAAGACGCGTTGGCTAGGCACGACCACGTCATCGAATGACGTCACTCTTGGGCAAGCAGCCGGCAGCGGAACATGGGCGCGTCTTTTTCTCCAGCCGCTAGCAGCCGCTAGCAGGGGGGGCAGGGGGGGCGGCAGCCCCCCCTGGCGCCCCCTTGGAGGTAACAACTTTCTCCCTGATATGGTTCGGGTGGGATTTGGCGTCTCACTCTGTTGCCCTGTCCCCCTTGACCTTTCAGCCAAAATACACCACTGCTAGTAACTTATTGCCTAGTCCCTTAATTTAACATTGCCCCCCTTCTTGCTTGTCCATCTAGTTTCCTCTTAAAAAATAGTCGCGGAAGGGCAGCCACTACGTCGTCGTCTAACGCAATCCACGCATTTACCACTCTACGAGTAAAAAAGTCCTGTCTTGACCTGTCTTTTCCCCATTTGCATCCAGTGACATTTCGGTCGCTCTGCCCTAGACCGCTGCTACCTTAGCCTGACGTGCTACGCCCGCAAGGCTATCCTTTGAAGGCCGTAGGCTAGGCGGAAGGACACAGGATGCGTTCCAGTACGTTTGTGAATGCGAATGGGTCAGGAAGCGATGACCTTTGTTTTTGTGCTTTCCCTTTTTCCAGAATGGTAAGTTATTTTTGTGGAGGATTGAGCAGTGCGAAGACGACTATCTTCTATAAGCCATCATTACATTTCATTCTCTTCATAAAGCATTCGTTTTCGGTTGTTGTGCAAAACTTTTGAGCTACAAAGTCAAATTATAAGGGAAAAAAGAAAGACATTCAAGGGGAGATTGGGGGTGATTGAAAACATGATTAATTTCGACTAATTGTTTAAATCATGATTAATACTTTAATCGATTAATTGGTCGAATAATTAATCGAATTGACAGCCCATTATAACGGCTCAAAGACGGAATGGAATGTGGACTACGAGTCTCCTGTCATTTGGTGAGTGGGCATGGGCGTGCACACGTATCAATTTCTCGATGTTTTGTTGTTTGGTGTTAGCTTTTCTTGATCTTGGTCCTTCAAAGGTGAGACTTCCAGCAAAATCTTTGGTGGTGCTTGCGGACAGGAGAGAGGCAAAACATGATCCCTCTGAATGTGGATTTCCCAGAGTTCGGGAGTAGAAACAGTAGTCGGGAGTAGTCCGTCCCCTTCGAGAGAAATCGGTCAAGGATTCAAATCAAGTTTGCGGACTCCGCCGTGCAAGGGTCGATGTCACCATGAACAAGCTCCGAAGTATCGGAAAAGACTGAAGAACTCTAATCGTATAAACTAATTATTTAACGTTTCACTTGGAATAATTCGAACTTCACTAATGCTTATCCGTTCTTATTCCGTCTATCCATATTACCCAAAAGCAAGTCCTAATGAAGAAGCTGCGAGGGAAAGCACAAAAGGAAGAAGGGAGTTGGACAAGGACATGGAACGGGAGAGGCAGGAAAGAGGATCAAGGGGAGAGGGGGGATGTGGACTGGGGAGTTGAGAGGCGAACAAGTGCATAGGCGGTCTGTGGGAGCCCCAGAAAGTAACCAAAAGAAGGGGAAAGCTGAGGACAGGCGAGATAAGAAGAAATGGAAGTATGAAACCCTCTCCTATTCCTTGCTTGCTCCGTAGACGGAGATGAGGGATGTGCCTAAGAACTTCCAGACGCATCCGCCCACCTCCCCGATCATCTGCGAGATGTCGTAAGTTTCCTCCTCTGTCAAGACTTCCATCTTCTTCGAAGGAAAAGAGATGAAGACCCAGGCGTTGTCGAGTCGTTCGAGTGTCGGCATGATCTGAACATGGTATTCCACCTGAAAACACGGCTGCAGACAGGAACAGTTCAATTTCTGGTAGTTGCTCCTCACGATGTAAGAAGAGTATTCCCTGACAGCCGTTAGAGTTTCCAAGTGCATAGGCGGTCTGTGGGAGCCCCGGAAAGTAACCAAAAGAGGGGGAAAGCTGAGGACAGGCGAGATAAGAAGAAATGGAAGTATGAAACCCTCTCCTATTCCTTGCTTGCTCCTAATTTTGCTCTTCCATCCTGTGTTGGCCATAAATCGTTTTGATTCTCCGCCCAATGAAGTGTCACTCCAATCGTTTACGTTTCAACATCTTTCCGGTATGAGTTAGTTAAATGGCAAAGGGCGTTAGTGTGCTTCTTTGCTTACATTTCATTAGTTATCTGCCTAAATTTTAATTATTCTCTTTCCGATTGGAGGTGTCACATGGAGGTTGAACGAGGGTATGTAAGCGTAGTAACTGCTGTTAGCGACTGCATCGTCTTGAGTCGCTTCCTGAGGCTCGCCTAGGTGTTGGACGTGACACAAGCAGAATCATGCCGAACGTCTAGGACAAGATTCAAGGATAACCAAAGGGACCGGTTAAAATTCGATTAATCGACAGATTAATAGATTAAATGACTCACGAATAATCTATTATATGTATTGTATATCTAAATTTCCAGGCGCATACAAGCGAAATAAAGAAAAAACCGTTTCAGTGGCTGTATTTTTTACTTTCTTTTCCAACTGGACTATGGAAGAAGTCCCTTGATGTTCAATATGCTCAGCCACTGTACAATGACTACTTTATATTCATTTTTTTTGCAGCCTTTCTGAATCGAATTCCAAAAAATGGGATGGATGATAGTGCAAAATATCAACGAAATTAAAGTGACATATTGATTGTGCAGCTATGGAATTGCTTAGGGCAATTTCGGATTACAATGTGACAATTTGATACATATATCACATATACCTATACATATATTAATACCATTTTTCCTCCAGTTGCGTTCCTGGCAAGTTTTTCCACCTTCTCTGAGTTTTCCCCTCTCTAATCCACCCTACGACGACGGCGCCCTCCGCGACATCCACAGCCGAAGGTAATGATCAAGTAATTCGTAGACGGAGATGAGGGAGACTCCTAGGAACATCCCCACGCATCCGCCCACCTCTCCGACCATCTGCGGGATGTCGTAAGCCTCTTTCTCCCTCAGAATTTCGATCTTCCTCGAAGGAACATAGATGAAGACGAAGGCTTTGTCGTTTTGTTCGAGTGATGGCAGGATCTGAACCCGATATTCCACTTGGGAACAGGGTTGTGGACAGGAACAATTCAAATCCTTGTACCTGCCATACCTGGCATATTTATCGTATGCCCAGACTGTCGTATTCATCTCGTTCTTGGTTTCACATTGAGGAAAATCCGGCTTGGTCATCCAGGGGAGACGGCATGACGAATTCTCCTTCATGGCTCTCAGTATGCACATGTCCAAACACTTAACAGGGAAACAGAGACGGAAAATTCGAATATCATATCGACAGTAAATACTACGTGCCTTATTAAGTTCTTGTTTCAGATTTATTTACAC